GCTGGCAGAGTCCTCCCCCAGGGCCCCGCCCCATCACGGGGTGCCTGACTGACCCGCCCCAGGAGCCCAGGCTAAGGGCCCCACCACCTCAGGAGAGCCCGGCCCAGAGGCAGGAGCTCCAGGCCCGCTGGACACCTGAGTTCCCACACAGACGGTGAGTACAGGTCACAGGTCGGTCCCCATGTAGGGCAAGGGTGGGAGGAGAAACTGGCCCGGCTGCCTCTCTGGGGTCTCTGCCTTGTCTCCAGACTTCTTCAACTCCGGGCCCATTCATTTGTGAGCAGACTCTGCCAACCTCTGTCTACCTAGCCTGCCTTCCTCTCCCTCCTCTCACCCACGGCCTACCCCTCGGAGCCCACTGCTGCTCTCCTCCCTCGTTCACCTGAGGAGGGGGACATCCTGTCATAAAGAGGATGAGGGAGGGCCACCTTCTCCTCAGCAATATCCATTACCCCCTGGTTCTGTTCAGGAGACCACAGACCCTGCCTGGGAATAGGCACCCAACCAAAGTGCTGAGTGTCCTGGGGCAAGTTGCTTAAACTCTCTGGGCCTTGTGTTGGAGTAGATTTGGCAGCTGAAGGTGGTTACATGATCATGCTTTGAACTCCAGAGAACTAGGTGGCCAAAATAGCAGGGATGCTTATTAATAATGCCTCAGTCACAGCAATAATTACCCCATCTGGCTCTGTGTCGGCGCCAAGGAATAGGCACCAAGATTCCCAAACCTTGGTTTTTATTTGTGTTGAAATGACTCTCCCAAATCTGCTTAGTGGGCTCAGAGGTGAAAAGGTGGGTCCCCTAAACCTCACTGAGGAGGGGTGAACATGGGACCTCTCTAGGACCACTAGGAAGGGGCACTGGGCCTCAAACAGGGCTCTGAAAAGTTCCTAATGATGATGGTGGTGGCCGTCATTTGTGGTTTGTTTTCTAATTTAATAATCCTATTTAATCCTCACAACAGACCCATGGAATAGGACTAATCCTGCTTTGCACCCCAAGGTTATAATAGGCTCAGAGAAGTTACACCATTTGCCCAAAGTCAACTAGAAAGTGAAGGGGCCACAATTTGAACGTGGTTGCCTGTGCTCTAACCACTTCTCTACCCTGCCTCTCACAGAGGTCTCATTGGCTCAGTGCAGAGAGGCTGAGTGTGGTTGTTGTACAAATTCCAAGATTTTCTGTGACCCTGTGGAGGTGAGTTTGGCAGCACTGTGCTAGTAGAGGCAGCATCAGAAATGCCCAGGCCTCTGGGCAGGAGTCAAAATACCTGATCTTGTGTCGAGGAAGAGGGAATGTGGGACCCGAACTGGCTGAGACCTACCTGGGTGCCCCAGCTGGGAAAGAAGGGCTGAGAGAGGGAAGGTGGTGGAGGAAGCAGGCCTTGGAGAGGGGCAAAAGAAGCACTAGGTTTTGCTGGGGGGACTGGGGATCTACCTGCCACCCCCTGGCTCTTTTGGGCACAGGCGGATAATGACAGACTCTGGCTGGAGGTTAGAGCTCACTGAGGAGGAAGTGGACCTCCAGGGACCCTATTGTTTTATGTCCCTAGGGCTCTGGGTGCAGGATTGGCAAATATAGCGGGGAGAGAGGTAGGACACAGTTGGATCTGCACGTGAGAATGTGTATGCATCCAAGAGTGTGCGTCTATGTTCAAGTGCAGGCAAATTTCAAGAGGAGGAGGACTTGGAGCTGCGAATTGACTGTGTGCGCGTATTGTGAATGTGTGCTTGTGTCATTGTGTCTGTGTTCTGTGTGTCGCTGTGTCTCTGAGTGTGTGTAACTCTTACTCTGTGTGTGTTTGTATGTCTGACTGTGTAGTCTACATAAGTGTCCGTATATGTTTTTGTGCCTGTTCAACTCTGTGGGTCTGTGCGGGTGTCTGTCCATGTGTCAGCGTGTGCCTGTGTGATGCAGCATGTGTTTGTGGGCTTGTGAGCCTATGGACTGGTTTGGCCTAGTTTGAGGGTGACTCATGGGTAAGCGGGGAGAATCCAGGACTTGTTGGGTTAGATAGAGCTCTTTCCCACACTCCCCCCGCCCCTTCCTCAGCCTCTCCCTTACTGGCTCTATACACTTTATTTGGAGGTCACAGGTTACCCAACAAATCCACTTCTGAAGTGGGCCCTGAAGAAGAGACTGCTCTGGGAATGGGCACTTCTGCTGGGCAAGGAAAAGCATCCTGGCTCTCTGGGGTGTGTCTTTGGAGCAAGGACAAAAAGGGGGAGCTATATAGGCAGGCAGATTCCAGCATCATTTGAAGAACATTCTAGCAGTCGTGACTGTCCAAGATTCAGACAGGTCAACTCTCAACTGGTGACCTCCCTGTCCCTAGAGGTATGCAAGCAGAAGTGAATGATCACATATTTATGGAATGACTGACTGCCAGGGGTGTTGTACAGGGGTAGGGTTGGGTTGAAAGAGGCATTGCTTTCTGATTGTTGGGAGGTTCCTGACAATATCTGATCTGATTATCAATAGCTTTCTTGGAAGCTGCTCTCCTGTTGCTTTGCCAAAGCCTATAGGGCCTTCCAAATGTGGTTCCTGGTTGTATGTCTAATTCTTTGACCCCTGGACTCCTAGGATACCACCTTCATGGGAAAGTTGGCTTTGGATGAGCCTAACCAGGGTGTAGGGCATCACCTAACACAATTAGCATTGAATAAGTGAATGAGTGAATGAATGAATGACTTAGAATCCAGACCTTGCCCTTTACTATTAACACCACCAGGGACTGGAAATCTTAGCAAATAACCTTGTTATTAAGGTTATTCAGAAGTGGAGGGGAGACTTGGGGGCTCAGCAAGGGAGGGAAGCTCCATGAGGGGGAGTCTCAGTGAGAACAGGGGTTCTGTTGGAATAAAGGGGGCTCCTCAGTGAGGACAGGGGAGAGGGTCAGGGCCTTGGCGAAGGGCTGCACTCCAGGGCCTCAGGTGTCTGATTATGTCCTGCTCTCTGGAATTCTGGCCTAGGGAAAAGATTTGGGCCCCCCACCTTCCCCATACACAAGCCTTTTCTGGGGCCACTCAGACTCTGTCCTGGGCCAGGCTACATGCTGTCACAGCCACAGTGAGTCCCGAGTCAGGTCAGGCTTCCTTGGGCCTCAGCCTCTTTCATCTCTGCCCCTCATAAAACCTGAGTCATTGCTGGAGCCACAGGGCAAGGTCAGAGTTCTGGGTTCCACCAACTTCTTAAGGGGGAGGGTGATAGAGATGAGAGAGGGCAGTTGTGGGCATGGGTTCATTTTTGGCCTTAACTTCCCTTATCAGGGTATGGGTGCTGCCTCATGAGAGGAGGAACAGATCTGAAGACAGGCTGGAACTGAAGCTGGGGATAAACAGGCTGACCTCTTGGGTCTTTGGGTTTGAGAATAGGATCGCCCTTGTCAGTGTAGCCTGGAAGTCATAGTGGGGGCTGGATAGCCCCTCCAGGACTGCTGTGGCCCTGTTTAAAGGTAAACCTCCAAATCATAGAGTCTCAATTTACCAGGTAAATACATTAGGAAGATTGGTATGGTAGTTAAGCACTTAGGGCTAAGATTCAAATCTTGCCTCTGCTACTGTGTGACTCTGGACAAATTTCTTAACCTCTCTGAGCCCTTTTCCCCCTTCCTCTTCAAAATGGGAATGTTTGTTTATAATTCATTAATAATTTATTCTTTATGAGGTATCAAATGCATAGGATTCTTTTGAGGATTCCATGAGACAATGCACGTAAAGCATTTAGCATGGTGTTTGGCACAGAGTAAGCCCTCAACAAATTGCTGTTGTTGTTGTTGTTGTTACTATCAAAACAGAGACTGACTGGAAAGTTTCTAGGGAGCTTAAAGGTCTTCTCAAACAGTTATTACTATTCCCTGTTTAGTAAAGGAGGTAATGGAGACCCAGAAGGATCAAGGACAGTCAGAAAAGAAATAACCCTACCCCTAAAAAGAGTGAAGTTGAGAGGGAGAGGACCCCAGGAATGAGCTCAGAGCCTTGGCCTGAGGTGCAAGAGGGAAGATGCCTGGATATGGATTCAGATATGAATTCAAAGCCCAGCTTGGCAGCTTGACGGCTGCATCACCCTGGGCCAGCCACTCCTCTTTTCTGACCCTCGGTTTTTCCATCTGTACCATGGGGGAAATAATCACAGAGGAGAGAATTGAGAGAAAGTGCATTTGAGTTCGAAGCGCTGGGTCCTGAGGGGCTTCATCCAGACCCACAGATGCCTGCTGACATACACATATGCTCTAGCAGTCACACCATGTGCTCATGCTAATGCACACGTGTGCACACCTGCTGGTGTTTGGTCACAATTCTCCAAGGAGACAGTATGAAGTTTATGAGCCAACATTTCAGTTTATAAGGCGAGTTTTTGTTCTTTCCCACTTATTGGATCCTGACGATAACCCTATGAACCAAATACTCTTATTATTACAGTTTTGTGACTGGGAACCCTGAAGCTTGAAGGGAGGAGTGCCCTGCCCAGGGTCATCCCGCTAGCGAGTGACAAGGCCAGGGGAAACCCACCTTTGTTTGAGGCCAAAACCCATTTTATAATGGCAGGAACAGGGGCAGAACAGCTGACAGGTTTTCAGCTTTCTAGTTTTGGGCTCCCAGAGGACTAGATCCAGGGCTCCTTGGACAGAGCCCGAGCCCTGTCCGTAGGCCGGTGGGGTCAGACCATTCGCCTTTCTGCTCTCTCCCTTCCCTCTTTTTCCAGGCTCAGGCTTCAGCTTCACCCCTGGAAGGACCCTGGCATAGGGGATCACCTGAAAGTGGGGAGAGGAGTGGGAGAGCTGAGAGTATCATGCCCATTTTACAGATGAAGAAACAAAGGCCCCAAAGATCAAATGATTCGCTTGAGGTTACCCAGGCTGACCTCAGCAGGAGTAGTTATTCTGCACTATAAAGAGCCACACTTACTACTCTGACCCTGTCTCTCTCCTTCCTGGCACCGTCTGCAGGGAGCTGGGCCACAGTGAACAAAGGATGCTTCAGAACAGGTTGCCGGGGCCCAACATGGAGGAGGCAGGAGGGCCCCCGGCTCAGGGTGAGGCCCGAGTGGTGAGTACCAGGCTGACATGGCGACAGCGGCCTCCTGCCCAGGAGGAAATCAGACACCGTTTTCACAAGGTGTCCCTGGTGTCAGGGTCCCGGATACAAGCCCCCCGGGAGGACACGTGCGATTGCGATCACAGCCACCATGGAGAGAATGTCAATGGCTTTGCTGCACAGAAAGAAGAGACTGTGAATCACCAAGGCCCCCAGGGAGGGGCTGGCTCCAAGAGCTTCCAGAGCCATGGGCCTATTTTCTCCAGGAAGTACACATTACCCCACAGGGAGAAAAGGCTGCTGGGGAGGCTGAAAGAGGCTGTGGACCAGGGCAATGGCAGCCCCCAAGACCCCAGGACTGAGCCACCAAGCCTGGGAGCCACGGCCAGGACTGAGTTTTCGGTGCCTTTGCCTGGGCCCCGTGAACCGAGCCCCCACCCAGGTGTGGGCCTTGAAGAACGGCAGGTGACACGCACTGTGAGGACCACTGTGGTGGTAGGAGGACACGTGGACCGACGGGTGAGCAGCTCTGTGACCTTGGAGCCATCACTCCCTGGCAAGGCTCTGCCAAGGGGCCGCAGTGCTGTGCGCACGGTCCAGACAGTGGTGGTGAGCCCCAGAACTGAGGGTTCGCCAGGCCAAAGTCAGGCCCGGGAGCTGCTCAGTAGCCTAGTGCCTGCTGAGCGAAGCCCACCGGCCAGCCGGCTTCCCAGGCTCATTGCTGCTGTGCTGAGGAGTCCAGGTCTGGGCAGTACAGGGAGCACAGCCCTGGGGCAGCTGCCTGAGATGGAGTCAGTGCAGCCAAAAGACAGATCTGCCCTGGCCCCTGCAGGCATCTCAGAGTGTGCCCACCCACCTCAGAACGAGGATGTCCCTGCCGCTTACCTAGATCAAGACCAGGGCCGAGCCCTGGTTGCCCATGAGGTCCCAAGGGTGCAGGGAGCCTCCAGCCCCACGCAGCTCCCTCTCCAGACCTCTCAGGACCACGTACCAGTGCCCTCCTCTCCCAGACTCCAGACCCACACCCCCTCCCTGGGACTAGTCCACCCCGCTGAGCAGCCTATGGTGCCTACTCACCCCAGAGCTCAGCTCACTCTTGATCCCAGGGAACCCCAGGCCCTGCCCTCTGTAAAAAGGGAAGGGCTCCCAGATTCCATGGTAAGGAGTGAGGTTGTTACGGTCCCTGATATGGTCCCTGGACAACCTCTTCCATCCTCTACAAGAAGGAAGGCTGTCCCCAGCCCAGGAAATCTTTCTGCTCCATCTTCCCCAAGGAATAAGGTTGTTCAGGACTCTGAAAATGTCCCTATCTTCTCCCTTACCCAGAAAGAGATAGTGCAGAGCTCTGATTTTCCTGCCGAACCATCCTCCATCCAGAAAGAGGCTGTGCAGGGTCCTAGTGCTCCTGCTGCCTCGTCCCCCAAACCAACCAAGGTTGTTCAGAGCCCAGAAGGCAGGCCTAGCACCGAGAAAGAGGCTGTCCAGGGCATTGAAGGCAGCCTTGTCCCTTTCCTCACCAAGGAAGTGTCCATTCAAGACCTGACTGCTCCTGCTGTCCCACTCCCTCAGAAGGATGAGGTTGTCCAGAGCCCTGAAGGGAGCCCCATCTCATCTTCCACCTCAAAAGAGGTGGTCCAGGGCCCTGGTGCTTCTGCTGCCCCATTTTCCACCGAGAAAGTGGTTGTCCAGGACCCTGCTGTTCTCCCAGCTCCCTCCTCAGTGGGCAAGATGCCCCCCAGCCCAGGAGGCCCCCCTGCCCCAGTGCCGATGGGAGCAGAGGCCAGCCTGGAGTCCCAGCTTGTTCCTGACTCCACTGAGGGCAAGGTGGTCCCAGAGCCATCGAGGGAGGACGAGGTGGCCCTGGCGGCTGACCTGGAGATTTTCTTGGATACCCTGCGGAGCATGGAGCCCCCCAAGATCCTTCACACTCACCGGTTGCCACGAGCCCCCCGCTCTTCTTACCTGGCCATGTATGCCACGCTGCCTGCCATTGAGGAGGACCAGCCTGGGCCATGGGTGCTGGAACACGGCCCCCAGGAGGTGCCCACACCGGAAGAAGAAGAGGAGGAGGAGGAGGAGGAGCCAGAGAACCCCTACCTGAGCGATGACGAGAAGCTCCAGCGCAGGAAGGAGAAAGCTGGGCCCAGCCTCTCCTGGGACTCCCGCCCAACCCGGCCCCCCGAGGCCTCTTACTCTCCTCTGGAGATGATGAAGAAGCATGTCACAGATGCTAAGGGCCCCCACTCAGAGCCAGAGTGGCAGGTGGGCAGCAGGCCCACTTCCCGTCTTGGAGGCAGCCTTCTCTTTGGTGGTCTGGAACCACTGGGCACAAAACTATCTGCTCTGGCCCCCCACGGGGCACCAGGTCTCAGGAAGGTGCCAGGACAGCTGCCCCTGCTCTGCAGTGAAAGGCCGCCACCAGAGAAGCCCACATGTACCAGGCCCCCTGAGGGCTGGGTGAGTCAGGCCTTGGGTGGGCAAGGGAGGGTGCCTGGCCTCACCAGGTTTAGATGGTGTGAGGATCATGATTCTGGGAGGAAGAGTCTCCACAGGCCCGAGGTTTGGACCTGAGGTCTGGTTCAGTGTGACCCTGTGTAAGCTACATCTCTCTGGGCCTCAGTCTCCCTGTCCAAACAACAGGGGATTTGCACTGTGGATTCCAAAGGGCTCAGTGGCTCCGATCTCTTGGAAGCTGGGGAAAGGGAGCAAAAGGAACTGAGCTCCTTGGACTGCATGATGAGGCCCCTGGTGGCTGGGGACAAGTATGGCATCCTCCGTAGGGGTGGAGGCCAATAGAAGGGATGTGAGATGCTTGGAGTGGTGGGAGGCAGTAAGGAGACAACCCTATAAGACTTCTTACCACCGCCTCCATTCCAGAGTCCAGCATCGAAGACCCAGGGCAAACTGAATACCAGGCCTGGAAAGGTAGGGGGGCGGGAGGCAAGTATGTGTGGGGGGTAGCAGGAGGTGGCAGCCTGGGGACAGAGCTTGAGGACCCCCTCTGTGCCTTCTCCAGATGATCCTCTTCTCGGAGCCCGGCTGCCAAGGCAGCAGCAGGGAGGTTTGGGAAGACACTGCCGATGCCTCCAGCTGGGCCCACGTGGCCTCCATAAGGGTGGTTCGAGGCTGGTGAGTGCAGAGTGCTCGGGGAGAGACGGCCTGCTTGTGAACCTGGGGCAGTGAGGACAATGAGACGTACCCAGGCCGAGTGGCAGAAACCCCTTCAGCTCCCCAGAGACTCTGTTTTGTGGGTACATCCTCTCTCACCCAGTGATCCTGGGTTTCTGTGCCCACAGCTGGCTGCTGTATGAAGAGCCGGAGTTCCGGGGCCAGAAGCTGATTCTGCCTGAAGGAGATGTGGAGCTCGGAGCCTCAGGGCCAGCGTGGAGTACCCAAGGCATCGGCTCCCTGAGGAGGGCTGTCCGAGTGAGTAGGCCAGGGTGTGGGGCGGATGCTGCTTTTTCTACCCTGGGCCAGGGGCCCTGAGAAGGGAGACAGCCTCAGGTTGCTAGAGTTGGGATCTCTGGGAGAGAGCATATGGAGTAGGGGGCTGAAGGGGGATATATTATGAATTAACCTATAGATTCCTGACCTTGGAGCTGACTGGGGAGTGCTCAGCCTGGCTTGGGGAGGCAGGGGCCAGGCAGAGGCCAAGCCTTAGCTTGGGAAAGCAGCTTGGGAAAGTTTGAGCTGGTGCTGGAAAAGGATTCAGTTAGAACAGCAGAAATAGTTGGGGGTGGATGTGGGTGCTCACTCACTCCCAGGGCCCAGGCTCAAAGGTGCCTCAGATGTTTGTTCATTCATTGGCTCAAGGATGCTCGTTGATGTCTGTTGTGTGCCAGCCACCATGCCAGACAATGAGGGTTTGGCAGGGAGACCTGCTCTCTGCCCTGCAGGACTCAGGGTCAAACTAGGGTATCAGGGTGGGGTTTGCAGCAGGAAAGCCATATAATCAGATTAGGAGTTTATAAACACATCCCTCTGGCTGACAGGAGATAAAAAGACTGGATGGGGATCCCAGAGGCAGGAAGACCAGGAACGTCTGGGATTTCCAGAGGCACACCTCTGAATTTGAGGGAGGGAGGCGTGGTTTGAAAAAGCATAGTCAATTTTATAGTTTCATGTCTGTAAATTGGGAAAAAACCACCGTTTTCATAACACTAATTTACAAACTATAGAAATGAAGCTTGACAAAATCATGTTGGCCACTAGAGAGAACCAAGAGAGAAAACAGGGCAGATGGATGTTTTGTTTGGTTTGGTTTTTAATGAAAGGAGGAATAACTCCGAGTCCAGAGCTGTTGCAATCCCCCTGGTAAGAGAGGACAAGAGATGACGAGTCTTAACTAGGACAGTGGCCCAGCCATATAAAAAGGGAAATAATTTTCAAAGCCTCTCCAGAAACACACAAATGTTTGTGGACAATTTATTGTGAGCTTCTCACGATAAATTCATCTTTGTGTGGGAGATAACAAAGTACAAGAGGAAAACAAGGACTTTGAAGTCAGGTGAACCCAGATTCATTTGATTCAGTCAGCATTGACTGGGCACCTACTGTGTTCCAGGCACATGGGAGGTACTGGGTTGCTATGGTGAACAAAAACTAAACTGCTCTATTTTGGGCCCTGCTACTTACAGACTGTGTGCCCTCAGGCCACTTAACTTCACCAAGCCTCACTTTCCCAGTTTGTGAATGGAGTAATAACTCCCAATGGTAGGACTAAGTGAGATGGGGTAGGACATACCCTTAGCACTGTGTCTTGCACTCAGTCGACACTTCATAAAGCATCTGATGGAGTAAATGAATGAAAATAGTCTTGGTGAGGAAGAAATACCCAGAATGCAGAGGGTCTGCTGCTTCCTGGGATGAGGTGCAGATGGAGCCAAGCCTGGACAGGGTCAGGAATTATACATAAAGGAAGGGTCAAAGTTAGACCTCAGGAAGCAGCTGTCCATCCCACCCATCCCTCCACCAGGCTGGAAGTCAGGCTGCCCAGAAGCAAGGAAAAATGCGTGGCACTAGGCAGGTACCTGCTAGGAACTTTGGTCTCAGGTCCTAAAGGTCTAGTGAGGAACCAGCATGGTCTTTGGTCTTGGGCTTGTTTGGCTGACCTTGAGAGAACACCCCAGTCATTCTCCTGGACCCAGGGGAGATGGCCACAAAGGTTTCCCAGAAGCCCCCTGAAACCCTGCTGGACAGACTTGGAGAAGCAGATGCAGGCCGGGGTAGTCTCCTAGGGGTTTTTTTTACACTTTATTTTTCCACCCCTCTCCCACAGAACTATATTACCTCGGAAATCAGCCTGTACTCTGAGGAGGGTTTCAAAGGGGAGCAAGTGAAGCTAACTGAGGCCTTGGAGGACCCCCAGAGCCTGGGGAGGCCGCTACAGGTGTCATCTGCCACTGTCTCTGCAGGACTGTGAGTCTGGGATGTTCTGGAATCCCTTCATTTCATATTCACTGTGCTGACATGACACAGTCCCTGCCCTCAAGAAGTTCACAGTCTACTGGTGGGGACAGACAAGTAAGCAGACGGTGGCAATCCAGAGTTCCAGGGCTGGGGAGCACGGAGCTGTGGGAACACAGAAAAGCACCAAACCAGCCTGAGGTCAGAGAAACCTTCCTAGAGGGGGAGACTCCTCAGCTGGGATGAGTTGGCTCCAGAAGAAAATAAGTTCCCTGATGGCAGGGATTTGTATGCTTTGTTCACTACTGTATCACTGATGCCTGAAGCAGAGCCTGGCACAGGGTAGATGCCCCTAAATATTTGTTAATTGAATGAATGGGGAAAAGACTATATCTAGCAGAAGAAACAACACCCGCAAAGACCCAGAGATGAGACATCTTGCTTTGAAACTTCAGTCTGGCCAAAGAAAGCAGCAAGTGGGGAGATGTGAGGCCCAGCAGGAAGGCAGGGGGACAGACCGAAGGGCCTCTAGTGCAGCTGTGCTGTATTGTGAGGCTAAGTGGGAACTACTAGGGGTGTTCAGGAAGGTATGTGTACTAGAAAAAACTCTCCAATTGCCGTGTGGGGCCAGGCCAGGGGAAGGGAGACTGAAGGAGTAGCTGCTGCAGGAGATTATGGGTGCCTGAAATGTTCTCCAGAGTCCACATGCCAGAGGCCTCTCCCCCCAAACCTCCTCTGCTCCAAACCTTCTCTTCCATTCACCAATCTGTGTCCTGAGCATCTGGAGAGCAGCTGCCTCTCTGCCTCCCCTCCTCTCCAGGTGGCTGCTGTACCCCAAACCCTTCTTTGAAGACACTCCCTGCATCTTGGAGCCTGGAGAGTACCCCACTTCAGAGGCCTGGGGTACATCAAACCCCAGCGTGGGTTCCCTGAAGCCCATGAGATTGGTAAGGAGTAGGTGGTCTTAGGTAGCCTTGTCCTGCAGTCTGGGGAAAGAGGCAGGACCTGGGAGCTCCTTCTCGGAACAGGATTGAAAGAGAGGGTGGATTCGCTCAAGGGGTGGCAGATAGGGAGGATATGGGGTTGGCCATTTTTAAGGATCTCAGGATCAAGAAAATC